TATGGCATTATGCCCAAATGCATGTGCATGCCGTAAAAAAGGAAAGGGGACAAGTAAATAAAAATTCTGCGAATTAAGAAAGTGTGGAATGTAGGGATGCCATAAAAAGCAAGGAGACAAGACAGGGATGACCTGGGCTTGTGATGCAGTAGTATAATGGGATTATTGTTACATCTTCAAACTGACATTTCTTTCTCATGTAAATTTTACTCCACACAAGCCCTATATTGTCGCCACTCTTGTCTCCTTGCTTTTTATGGCATCCCTATATTCCACACTTCTTTAATTCGCTGAATTTTTTTATTTACTTATTATTGTAAACAACAACGCAACAACAAAATTGCCCCAAGCAATAATTGGTGAAAGAAAGTTTGTATACATAATGCAAACATCAAAATCACAACAGTACATGTTTGTAAATAACAACAAATTGCCTCAGGCATTTTTCTTTAAATTTACGTATTAACATCTCAAACTTTGCAATGGTAGCACGCATAGTGATGGCACTTGGTATGTATGCTTATTATATCATTTCCATGACGACTACATGTTTCCATGACGGCCAAACATTGTTTGAAAAAGCCTCAGGCAATTTTCTTTAAAACTACTTGTTCACTCCTCAAACTTGTTAACTGTAGCATGCATGGAGGTGAAACTTGGTACACATGCATAATACATCGTTTCCATGACAATCACAACAACAAATAGCCTCAGGCAATTTTCTTTAAAACTACTTGTTCACTCCTCAAACTTGCTAACTGTAGCACGCATGGAGGTGAAACTTAGTGCGCATGTGTATTACATCGTTTCCATGATGACCACAACAACAAATAACCTCGGGCACTTTTCTTTAAAATTACTTCTTCACTACCAAAACTTGCTAACGGTACCACGCATAGAGATGAAACTTGGTTCGCATGCGTGTAACATCAGTTCCATGACAACTACTTTCTTTAAACAATGAAAAACACTAAAGTGCAAACTCTCGGCGAACTGCGCATGCGCTGTACCGCTAATTGATGGGCTGGGCCTATTATAATAGTATACATTTTTACTCGTGATCTCCCACTAGTAGCTCGCGGAGAGTCTGACACGGGCTAGCTACAGTAGTGGATAGCATGCGGGAGTCGGCTTCTTGTTCCTCCGAGATACAGAGAGCAAGCGGATCAGGTCGAGGAAGCCAGTGCTAATTAGCATATTGGCTTGTTCACTTGGTTTTCACGCCATAACTTCTGAATGCAGCACTTACGAAAATCGCCTAATTGAAAATAAAGGCAGTGCAGTGCTGAGCCCACTGGTGTCGCTATTTTACCTGTTTGTTGCGCGTGGTGGCAGAAATCGTGATAACAGACGGACAGACGGACAGACAGACAGAACGACTACTGTAACCCTCGCTGCGCATGCGCACGCCGAGGGTTAATAACAAATAGCCTCAGGCAATTTTCTAAAAAAATTACTTATTCACTTCTGAAACTCGCTAAAGGTAGGAAGCATGGAGATGAAATTGGGTACGCATGCATATTACATCATTCCATGACAACTACATGTTTTTATAACGACTACATATAGTTCAAATAGCCTCAGGCACTTCTCCTCAAACTTACTAATGTAACCACGCATGTAAATTAAAAATCCTGCGAATTTAAAAAAGCGAGGCGTATAGGGATGGTATAGAAAGAAATGGAGAAAATAATTATAGGGATGGGATACATGAAGCATGGTTAATGAACAGATTTCACCATGCTGAAACCCCCAACCCCATCACACAACCCCTATATTGTTGCCTAGGTGAAGTATTAACATTCACCATTACAATACTCAGAATTTATAATAGAAAAAAGTCATGCTAGTGAGTAACCAACGCCATTATAGAGTACAGGTTGAGTGTAATTAAAGGGAATGTGGCAGTATAAAAGTAGAAATGTCACTAAACACAACGGGGGGTGGTGAAAGAATGCTTGCTCTTAGTAACCTTTAGCCCTTATATAATGCTATAAGAGTAGCACACCAGGTAACAATATAGGGATTGTGTGATGGGGTTGTGGGTGTCAGCGTGGTCAAATATGTTCATTAACCATGCTTCATGTATCCCATCCCTATCTTGTCTCCCTTTCTTTTTATACCATCCCTATAGCCCTCTTTGTTAAATTCGCAGGATTTTTAATTTACTTCTATACTAAGTACTACCGTACTTAGTGATAGGGATGGGCATACCTATGATAGGGAGTTTTGTTAATCTTCATCATCTTCTTCTTCAAGACGAAAGACTCATAAACGTATGGACATGAAACTTCGTAGTAACATATATAATGCGGAGAGACTGTGAGTACTTGTAAACAACGTGGATGGACCGAGGGTTCATTGAAATCCCGTAGTTCCCGAGTATACAGAGTAACTAACGTGTTTAGTGCAAAGCAGACAAATCCGTACATGCACAGCGCCCGTTTCCAGGCGACTGAAATTCGAATAAGCACGAAGACGCGATTGGTAAGAGACTCGAGCGAGGTTTCGGCCACCAGCGGCGGGCGAGAAACGGTAGGCGGGAGCTACAGCACTCGCTCGTCCGTCGCACTTCGCAGAAAAGGGCTCCGCCCACTCTACGTATCCGTGGGCGTGACCTACTGCTAGCGCTAGCATACAGGCGCTTACGTACAGCTAGGCCAAGACTTCTTGCCTCTCTGTGCATACTGTTAAAAGAATGATTGTAGACGATAAGGCTACATGTTTCTGTAGATGATGTACGTGATCTGGTCATTTTCGTGTGAAAATTTTACATGGAGCGTCCCAAGTATACAATGGGAAATCCAGTACCTCGTTTGAACCAATGAGATTGCTCGATTTAAATCAGCTCTGCGCTAAATATATGTTATGTACTACGTGTGACAGACACAGAAAACTGTCTTGTGGAAAAAGAAAACCAACATATCAGTTATTTTGAAAATAAACTGAAAAAACAAGGCTTCATATCATGTTTTCATGTTAATTTTGTTATCTCACGAGGTTCATATGAAAAATGAGGAACCTCGTACTAACAAATCTGTTCAGTCAATTCGAATCAGCTATGCTTTTAATAACCTTTAACCCTTATATAATGCCACATTCTCTGTAAGAGTAGCACACCAGGCCACAATATAGGGATTGTGTGATGGGGTTGGGGGTGTCAGCGTACCCAAATCTGTTATTAACCATGCTTCATGTATCCAATCCCTATCTTGTCTCCCTTTCTTTCCTATATGCCTCGTTTTTTTAATTTGCAGATTTTTTTTATTGCCGAGCGCGTTAGTGTGAGGCAACTACTCCGGGTTGTATTCTCGCGATATGCATATGCGTACGTACGTACGTGTCCGTCACGCTTAAGAATGTCAATTAGTCACACTTATGGAATGTCACGCTTAAGAATGTCAATTAGTCACGCTTAGGAATGTCACATCCGTCAGTCGTAAGAAGTCTAGCTTCCGCCGTGTGCGTAGATTCGTAGGAAGTCTGGCTTCGCGCGCATGAGCGGCCTCTCGGACTGTTTACGCATTGGCTGGCAGGCGCGAGGCAAAATATCCACGTGCGCATTCCTAGTTTACTTGTACTTCTTCATTTAGCTGCCCGTGATAAAGAGTACTAACTATGTTACCTGTGTTTAACGCCTCTGCTCATTTAACAGAAATTTCTTTACCATACTTTCTCTTTTACATTTAGCAAATGACTGGACATTTTACCCATTTTCAACTAGAAATAAAAAAGATTACTACAATTTAATGTCAGTGTACATGGACTCTGTCTTCAATCCAATCTTGCGACAACTCGATTTCAGGTGAAGTTTTGATCATACTGTATAGGTGGTGTAGCTTCTGTTCGATGAGAAGGCTTATTAAATTCTCATTGCAAGCCTTTTCATTGTCAAGACAGAACAGTCGGCCTGTGGCTGGTATTTAATTGTTAACTGTTCACTTCCAGTGAAGTAGAACACAGCTTTTCCCTCCTATAGAGAATCGGCTAAACAAGGCCACAAAAATAATCCATACTACACTTAGGCGCAAGCGCGGCATCTTAAGGGGGTACCTTACAATATTTTTAACTTAATGGGTTGAATTCCAGTATGCCAAGGAATATGTTTTCGAATCTTTTAGTCGCACACGCATTTGTGCATGCACGTGCGATTGTGTTGCGTGCATTGGGATGCCAAAAATTCCTATATGTCCTGTTCCATGTTCAGGCATTTAAGCTACAGCTACATCATGGATCTACTCCCAAAAAGTTGTCAAACTGAACACAGTAAAATTTCCACAACGCAATTGCGCTCCTATGCGCGAATGCATGAGCGACTTATGTTTTAATGCACAATTTAGAGCATGCCAGTTAATAGGACAGGGCCGACATTCTTCCCTGCAAGACTAGCCTTCGAGTTCGTTGCTGGTAGGTGCATGCTACGTAGTCCTGCCTTATTAGTGTTCACTCGTTGGTGTCACCATTATGCCAAGTGTGCAGTGCTTGTGACCTTTAACGAGGTGCCTAATATCTATTGTGTAAACAGATAATGTGTAGCGCCTTCTAAATCAAAATCTCAACCTTTCAACATTGGATTATAACTCCATTTATGGTATATCAACAATTACATAACCCAGCATCATCAGGAGAGTCATGCTCACATAAAGCGCCTAGATAATAATGTTTTTGTGTAGGTGGATCAGTCGTACTGCCCATGCCACATATTACAGAAGTGTGCAGTATTTAATGTTCAATTACAAACAACCACCTAGGCCCTTATACAGAAGAATTTTACGTAATCGTGTGTTCCACATGTGTTCCACACTAAGATACCGTTAGTAATGGCAGACAATGTATCCTGTACATCACTATAGCATACACTAATTTCTAGCTACAGCGTTGACTCCCAAGCTTCGTCATGTGTGTCCTCTCATAATTTTGGTGGTTGTTTGGAGACCCATTCAACCCTCAGGTGTGCCTTGTGCTGTATGAGTCTCTGGACCACACTCCCACGTCACCTATTGAGCTCTAAACCTACATGTATACTGATTTCCAATTGCAACACCCTGTCAATTGCCTTCACTTTTATGTTAGAGAATGTGTAGCAGACTGTCGTACACTGTGTTTCCTCAATCAGATGCCATGGCTACTAGTGGTGCGGCTTTTGAAAGAGGGTGGTTGTCTATTTGAGGGCGGCATTGTTTTTTGTAAGTGCCCCTGTCCTATAATAGACAACGTTTTTCTTTCAAACCAGCGGTGCGAAAGTAATGTCGTGACCGTTCTCAGCTGAGGCTTGCAGTTTTTTTCGTTCGCAATTCGGGGTAATCACGTCTATAAATCCACGTGGCTAACGTCTATCAGAGGGCAGCACCAAAGCTGCTCTAGCTTGCTGCCGTCTTGGCCGCTGCCATTGCTCGATTGACGCTACATGCTACTGCATGCACAAAGTGCGGCTAGTATTCAAGAGTGGCTTGAATTACTCTTGTTTCAAGCTACATGCAGTGTCTATACAAGGGGGTGTTTCTATTCCAGGTGCAACATTTATTGGAGGATATATTGTATGTAACCCTCATCCACTGTGTTACATACACTACTTGACTTATTAATCTTTAACCAGGATTCTGCTATAGTTGTACACAGTATCTAGTAAGCCCATGAGGAAGTGAGAAAACCTGGACTGGTGGTCATAATCAGTCGCCTGGCGTGAATATTCATGTGTGTACACTTGCATTGTGTTGAGAGTGAGCACTGTTTACCACAATAATCTCTTACTCCAAGATTTTCCCCCTTTTCTATGTGTCAATACTGACACATATCTTTACAGACAGGAAGGATGGCGGCTGGAGCATGAAAATCCTTGGGATCAGCATTCATCAATCATTTTCAAAGGCGTTGTTTTCAATGAGATGAAAGGCTATTTTGTAAGAAATGCAGTAGTTATAAAATTGCTGTATGTGTATGTATGTAGCATGAGCCAAGGGTGGTATAGGTAAGGTAACCATTACCCTAGCAACTGCGTGACATCAATGGAGAAAGTGCTGTCCAAAATTTAAATTTCTAGTAGCAGTTGAGAAAGCAACAAGGCAGAAAGTGAGCATGCTAGCAGCACCAATGGCAACGAACAACTAGTGCAATAGCTCTCTCGAGACAATAGTACTATTTGTGTAATGTTGTATGCAGGTAGTATGCTTGAATACACACCAGGTGTTCAATGTGCAGCAATGGAAACAAAATCTGGGTCTCAAATACGTGGGTAATGGAAATAGGGCATAGCACTTCAATTAGCACATTATGTTCCAGGGGTACTTGTTGAATGGCCTTCTGCTACTTTTGTAAAGTCGGTGGTTATTTGGTTTTAGTCCCCCAGTCTCCCTGGTCTCAAACGGTTTCCTTGGTCTCGACTAGTCTCCCACAGTCTCCCAGGTCTTCTTTTGTCTTGTGCAGTCTCTTAGGTTCTCATGGTCTCTTTCATTGGTCCCATGGTCTCCACTTGTCACTACTCCTTTCTTTCAATCTCTACTTGTTTCTACTGGTCTATACTGGTCTCCATCAGTCTCTCAAGTCTCCAATAGACTCCCTCAGTCTCTTATGTATCTAATGCTTGTCTCCCCGGTCCCCCTTGCCTCTAATTTTCTCTGAGTCTCCCTTGTCTTAATGGCTTTCCCAATCTCTATTGGACTCCCCCAGTCTGTCCTCTCTGCTCTCTATGGGTATCCTCTTGGTCTTTCAGGTTTCTAATAGTTTCCGTCAGTCCCCTACATTCTATCAGTCTCCCTTGTCTATACCTGTCTCTACTGGTCTCTTTCAGCCTCCCTGGTCTCTCTCCCAGTCCCTTCTGGTCTCCATCAGTGTCTACTGGTCTCTCCCTAGTCTCCCACGTATCTTCCCCAATCTACTTTGTATCTACTACGTAGTCTCCATCTGTGTCCGTTGTCTTTACCAGTCTCCCTTGTAGTACGTTTACACTAGCAAGCGTTTCAGGGCTTGGCTGTCTCGTTGACGCAACCGAGACAGCCAACCGTGCTTGGTCACTTTTACATTACGCATTGTTATTCCACGCTAATGCATGTGAGCATTGTTAGCAATCTACGCCTCTCTTTTCGTTCATGTGCCGATGGCACCTCGGACGTTTTTCCATAGACTAACATAGTCTCATACAAGTATTTTGCGTGGGCGAAGCAAAGGCGCCGCCAGTACTATATTCATCATACAGAACAGTTTTTGAATGAACTGAAGACGGTGACACAAACAGCTGCTGGAAGTGCGCTCCGCGAGATTCTAGTCCTCTCTTTTGTTCGACTCAGACGGTGACACAAACAGCTGCTGGAAGGGCGCTCCGTGAGCTTCTAGTCCTCTCTTCCGTTCGACTCAGACGGTGACACAAACAGCTGCTGGAAGGGCGCTCCGTGAGCTTCTAGTCCTCTCTTTCATCAAAAAACCGATTTTCCTGGCCGCCGCCTTTTGAACTATATCTGCGGACTAGCATACGCTTTGAGGGAATGACGCCCTCGGCGGCCTTTTCGTAAACGGAGTTCGACTTAGAAGGTGATACAAACCGCTGCTGGAAGGGCGCTCCGCAAGCTTCTCGTCCTCTCTTCCGTTCTGAACGCCGGTTTTCCTGGTCACCGCCTTTTGAATCGCCCACGCATACAATAAATAACTTAATTAAAACCCTTTGGGCGCCATTTACATATATATATGCACAGAGCCTCCATAAGTACATAAGAATTTATATATGGCTATAATCCTAGACGCTAATATGTTATACATCAATTTCTGCTTATTTAAGGAGACACCTATGGCGCCCAAAGGGTATGTACGGAAGCACGTGCTGTGCGCGTGATCATGGTACTCGGAACGCCCCTCGTGCCATTATTACGCGCACAGCACTGACTTCCGTACATTAATTACTAGTTTAATGGTAACCATTGTTGGCAAGCGGGAGCGATCCAACCAAGATATGTGTATACAGGTGTTGAAAGTACTTCCAAGTTAGGGAGATCCCCAATACTACAAACGTCACCAGCTGTTACCATTACAAACACCCATGTTTCTATCAGGTTTGAGCAGGAGAGGAGTTAGCTTAAAGTGTAGAGGATATGTGAGATTAGGTTTTGTTGGAAAACATTACAAATGACATTGATGACATGATTTAAACCAATGACTTAGCCACATTATTTGTGATATTCATAGCAAATGGTTGATGCAACAGTAAAGTCTCACTTGAAACTTTCGAATTGCATAGTTCGTCAAGAAGAGGAGAGAAAAATGTAACTGTAATTATGCCGCTGTCACTTTTCACGTCAAATCGAGCTGCATGTTGTTCTACGCAATTGGTAAGAACTTGTGTTGTTTGTGGTTGAACATTGCCAATATCATCAATTATTTTCATTGAGAATTCATCTTGACTTGAGGTACTTAACTTGTGAGAAGGCCTGCTGGAGCTTGGTGAGTCTCTCACCCTCCAGGTCTTTGAACTCTCCTCTGGTTGGCAGACGGAGGAGAGAGTGGAGGGTGCAGCCATCAATGTTGAAGGCAGCCACACCAGTTGGAGCTGCAACCATGACCTGATGCTGCCGGAGAAGTCGGAGACAGTGGATTAGGTAGGACTTCCCTGTGCCAGCTGTGCCAGATACTACCATCCGCAGAGGCTGGGCACTGGTGGATGAGTGGTGGTGCTGGACGATTGATTGTGTACACCTGCAGCTGCTTTCCCTGTAGGTTGGCTGTGGTTGTGAACACATGCTGTCCAGCTGCTTGTCTCTGCTGAGCAATGAAGGACTGGGCCTCATCGATGTTGGGATATGACTGTACAGCCTCGGTCCAGTCAATGTCCTCCTGGGTGTTCATGCGGGGCTGCATTTCTGGATTTTGGCGACAGATTGGCATCCACTCCTCTGTAACCCGCGATGGTTGAATAGATGTTTGATCTTCCTGTTGCTCCTAAAAAATGAATAACGAATATAAAATGACACAGTAGGTGCTACAGTATAAGGAATATTTAACCTCTGTTTCCTCAGTGTCATCTTCATTGCTTTGCAATAGTTGGAGCAGACGATACATATCATCCTCGAGACAGGGAGGGATCTGGTCAGAATGCAGGAATGCAGCATAGGCATCGATGTAGTTGTCACACCCAGAGAGGAGATCGTCCATCTGGCGAAAAGGCTTGTGTTGCATCAGTGAGTGGCGACAGTACTGTTCATACTTCTCCCCAGCAGGATCTGGTGAGATGTACGGTCGAGGGATGACGACAATACGTCTGCTTCTGCGAGTTGGCTCACCTCCGAGGGTCTTGGGCACGGAGTACTGGCGAGCACACTCCAGGAGGGTCATGGGGTTGAAGTGAGGGGAGTCAGGTCGTCCCATGTAGTGGTCAACGATGGAGAGTGCTGTAGCACGCTGCCCCCTCTCCAGGTGGTCCTCAACAGCACGAGACCCATCAGGGCTGAGGATGATGAAGTCACGTGATGCCTTGAACATTGGTAGCTGCAGTTGTAGGTGGCTGTTCTCCTGGGCGGAGTAGTCTCTCTCTCCGACAGTGTTGATGAGGAGCTTCTGGACTGCCTTGAGAGAGTTGTTGCCTTCTTGGAGACCACGGATGATAGCGGTGAAGATCTCCTTGAGTGACTGAGACCGTGGTTCACTCTTGGTGACATACTTGGTGCAGTACTGCAGGACTCTCTGACGGGAGACGATGTACTGCATGTCCACGTTAGCACGCCATGCAGACAGCTGAACTGGGTTGAAGCTGTTGATTAACCCATCGTTCCGAGCTGTGAGGAGAGTTGTTTTTTAAAAAAATAGTTTAGCACAGAAGCAAGGAATACATGTAAGTAGCACTCAATTGCTAATACCAGACATGATTCCCATGAGAATTAATAAGATGACGTTTGAACAGAGAAAAAGAGGACTCAGAACATAGAGTACTATCAAGACTGTTCCACAGTCTAATAGTTGCAGGAACAAACGAGTGGTACATGGAGTTAGTACGGGAGAAAGGATGGTGTAGAGAAAAAGGATGAGAATGATAGGAACGAGAGGTGCAATAAGAAAAAAACATCAATGTCACAAGCTGTTCACAATTTTGTACAGGAGACAAAGTCTAGCCACCTCTCTACGTTTCTCAAGAGACAGAACACCAGTTTTATCCAGCAAATCAATGTAACTGAGATCCCGACACTTTGTAACCATTCGCAGAGCAAATTCTTGGACCTTTTCTAAAAGTAATTTATCACTCTGTGAGGAAGGAGACCAAATTGCAGCAGCATATTCCAGGTGAGGTCGAAGTGACTTGTAAAGCTGCAAGAGCATTGTGTCTGGAAGATGTTGGTAATAGTTCCGATAAAGAAGGCCAATCATCTTCTTGGCCTTCATACAGACATGCTGAGTGTGCTGACTCCACGATAAGTCAGAGGATATGTGCACTCCTAAGTACTTGTAGGAGCTAACACACTCCAGTAATTGACCTCCCAGATGTAGAGGAGATGAGGGTTTGAAAGAAACCTTTTTCCTTCATATCATCATAAATTTACATTTATTGCCATTCAGTGTAAGGGCATTTTGCCTTGACCAATTATAAACATGGGTAATATTCTCTTGCACTGACACAAAGTCCTCAGGGGAGTCAATGACTTGGTAAAGTAACACATCATCTGCAAACATGTGCAGTCTTGGAGATCCAGAAAAAGTAGTACGTGACAGGTCATCAATATAAATCAGGAAAAGCAGGGGACCCAGAATTGATCCCTGAGGCACACCAGAAAGAACAGGCGATAGCCAATTCGAAGTTGTAATTGACAAGGTGCTCTTGAATCACGTTATACATATGCTTTTCCAAAAGTTTTCCATAGCAGTGATATAGGCCGGTAATTACTTGGTTCAGACATGTTGGTAGCTGATTTTGGAATAGGAACAACCA